GGCATCAGCATCCCCATGCGCATTCATCCAGGGAGAGGAGCTTCCCATTACACCTGCTGTGTCACACAAAGGCCGCAGAGCGCCGCAAGGACTCAGCTCCCTCGGCTCCACGGGAGGCACAGCCCTCGCCCAGACTCTATCCTGCAGCTGAGCCAAACAAGTGAACAAAAGCAGAGGCTTTCTCTCCCCTCTGCCTCACTACCATCAGGAGGGCCAAGAAGGAGGCAGTGAGCTCTCCTGTTTTACCTCTGCCCTGCTCTCTGGTCCCATTCAGAGCTGTGTTGCATGGACAGTCCTCCCTCCACAAAAAAGATTTACACTGGAACAGTCATTGACACAATGCACAGTCTTGGCCCATTTGCCTTACAATTTTGGGGTCTCTTTTAAGTTAAGACTCCTTAATTTTAAAATTCCTAAATATCTTTGAAGTGCTGGCCTTCAGTGTTGCAGCTTGCTATCTTAATGGGAGGGCAAAGTACCATGCAAAACTCAGATCAGACTAAAACCCTTAATTTCCCTAAGCTCCCTCCACAGCTAGCAAAGAGAGAAGCCCTTCATGACATCTATCAGATTTGTTAAATTAGCCCTCTACTTTGAATCACCTTCTGAATAGACTTGTCATGCTTCATTGACTACAGAGAGAGCCTAAGGACATCAGAGATTGACCCTCCACCTCATACACAGGGATAGTGGGTACTTAGCATTGACAAATTGCTTAGAAGTTTTGCAATCAAAGGTGTTAACTGAGAACATGTTGCTAAAATACTGTACAAAGCATAATAATGGTTGTTAAATTATTGTTGTCATTGCTACTACTAGCAACAAAAATGCATACTTCTGGTTTTAGGATTAGAGTGTATTCCATCTCTGTTGATGAAATCCATGTATTTCAGGGACTCATAGCATAAACACTACAAAGTAGGAAGATGGCTGCCTTTTCTGTTTTTTTGTCTGTTCTTTCTTTCTTTCTTTCTTTCTTTCTTTCTTTCTTTCTTTCTTTCTTTCTTTCTTTCTTTCTTTCTTTCTTTCTTTCTTTCTTTCTTTCTTTCTTTCTTTTTCCTTCCTTCCTTCCTTCCTTCCTTCCTTCCTTCCTTCCTTCCTTCCTTCCTTCCTTCCTTCCTTCCTTCCTTCCTTCCTTCCTTCCTTCCTTCCTTCCTTCCTTCCTTCCTTCCTTCCTTCCCTCCCTCCCTCCCTCCCTCCCTCCCTCTTTCTTTCTTTCTTGGTTTGGTTTCCTCTACAAGCTAGTTCTTCTGCTTTCTTGTGCTGCCCTATTGTGACCCTGATATTAAGGTTGCAGAGCACTTACTGCTTTTGGTACACACTGGACAGAAATAAAATAAACTTGTCTTTTCCTTCCTGCACTGGTAGAGAGAACGGTGGCCTATTTAGGGAGCTTTCCTGATAAGACAGCAAGTAGCAATGACAATACACAGGCCCAGCTCAAATTCAACTACTTATAAAACAGCCTTTATCTCAAGAAGAGTGTGTTTTGTCTTTGTGTCACTCAGTTGTGCAGGTGGCTTGATGGACCCCTGTCATCAAGGGAGGATAATAGCAGAAACAACAAACTTTTTACTTTAGTCTCAGTTAAGGTTCTGATTCTGTCATTCTTTGTTGTTTTTTTTTTTACACCAGGAAGTGCCCTACTGAATCAGTAGGATTATCCACAGCACATAAAGCACAGCACTTTCTGAATTGTTACAGGACTGAGACATTATGCAGCTGAGGATCTTTATACACTATATCATGATACTCAGGACATTCCTCCGGGCTGAAAATGAGCTGTTTCATGTTCAGAATATATCTAAAATCAAGTCTAAAATATCTAAATTCAACACAAATATTTTTTTAGTGTATCTTGCCTCGAGATAAGAAGAGGAATCTCTGGCCTTCCTTGCAACCAGTTCCATCTCCTGCTCAGGTAATTCTATTTTGGGAACTTGGAACAGGGCTCTTCAGCACCTCAGTCTTCTGCACTTTCTTTTTTAAATTTTTCTGCCATGCATACCTAGTTTCTGAAGGAGGAGGGAAGGGAGTGGAAAGGGGAGGGGAGGGGAGGGGAGGGAAGGGCAGGGCAGGGTAGGGCAGGGCAGGGCAGGGAAATTACACCATGTAATTTCTCTCTGGACACTACCTCCACCTTATGTGCTTTGAGGAAAAAGTGGAAGCTGGTCCATTCCTGCAGCTGGAGGCTCACTTTGCACCATACTCATTGCCAGGCAGCCACTGCATCGGACTGAGGCCCACTGTGCACCTTGGAGCAGCACCATCCACACTTCACCAAGGCTGAGTATCCAGGTCCCATGAGTACTTGTGGTGCTACACAGTGAATAGTAGCAATACATAAATTAATGTAATAAAAAGCCTAGAGCTTTTCAGATGGAAAAATAACTGTATAATTACACGGGTGTAGCCCTCTTCTTTATCAACAGTGGGTTTCTGAAGTTGTATATCAAGGTTAAAAGAAATAAAAAAGAAAAAGGAAAAAGAAAGAAAAGACAAATCTGCCTGTATTTCAAAATGCAACAGTATGCAAGTTGTCACTATTATAGAAAGCTCTTTTCTCTTTCCTCCAACCAAGCATACTGCATTTCTCTTTCACTCTCTCTCCAGAGCCTCCCATAACACTTAAGTATTACTACATAGCTATCAATGAACTGAAAATGTTTAATGTTTATCAGTTTTTTTTTTATATTATTATTATTATTAAAAGGAAACATTACTGATCTTGAGAGGCATTATCTACTGTACAGAAAAAAAAAAAAAAAAAAGAGTTACTGACCTTTTCAGATCCAAGCTGTTGTCTTTTGCTCCTGGGGTAGAAGTGGAGCAGCAAATTAAAAGGACTACAGTGCAACTGAGAAAAGAAGAGACAGAATAAATACAAATAAAAATATTCTTTGCCAATGGAGACAATAGTTTCCATGGTGATTGTGTAGCAATAAGCCCTTCTATAACTCAGGGTACCCAGAAGGAATGGAATTATTTCTGACTGTAAAAGAGACTCTGTGTGTGTGTGTGTGTGTGCGCGTGTGCTAAGCATACTTGCTTGTGTATATGCATGTGTGCACAAGTGTTCATGCATGTGCACATGTATATTCGTATATTTTTATATTTGCATTTAATATCAAATCTTCTTTGACCATAAATTGCATAAAATGGTGTTTCCTGAGCAAAGTTCTCAGAAAACAGTGAAGATTTTATAACAGATGTGTTTCAGTATAAGATTGTTTTTGGTTTTGTTTTTGTTTTCTTTCCCTTGTGTGTTTTTTCTTTTTTTCCTAGGGATAATCAGTACAGGCTAATAAGTAACCTGAGAGAAGACCTCTGCAAGGATGACTTCCCAAATCATCATAAAAGAGGACAACAGGCAAGGAGTTGAAGTATTATTTTGGGGGAATGTTTCATCCTGTACACGAACAGCTGAATGTACAAAATCTCCACTCTGAGTGAAAATCAGGTGTTGTCTCTCATCTACAAGGCAAGGGATGAATAGTGTCTGCATGTGTAAATATTATGCATTTACATCAATATTATGCATTAATTACAATTTTACCTTGTATAAGACCAGAGGGATGATGAATTACAAACAAGTCATTAGCTTCAGCTGTAGTGGTGTATAGGCTGAGACCATAGACTCATTTCATGAACCACCAGTGTCAGAAATTTTGAGCAGAAAGTAGTAGCAGAGTTCGGGTCCCTTCTACATGAAGTGCCATCCATTCATGTAACCCATGCATAACAAAAAGAATCTATATAAAGACAGAGATGGCTTTCTAAAACCCTATTCCATGAAGGAATCACCAGAAGAGAGCTGACCCAAAAACTCCTTGCCAAGCCTGTTTGTGACTTAGTCAGCATTTGTGTACAGAGGTAGGAAGGACAGGAGAAATCAGAGACCTGGGTGTCCTGAATGATGGAGCTTAGGGACAAGCACTACTTGAGACAGTCCTCAAGCAGCTCAGGCTCACTGAAAAGATCAGATAGCTCCCAAGAACAAGAGAATTTTAAAACCATCATTACTTACTAACCTAAAGAGGTAAGTAGCATATAAAACAGGAATTAAGACTTTTCTTTTGTAATTAAACACTAGTAAGCACTTGGGTTTCATTTACAAAGAAAAATTAGGTTGTTGAGTCCGTTGATGATTTGAAGAACGCACTGTTGTTTTTCATGATTTATAGTAGTCCACTTTCTTCCAAAGAATTTCAGAAAACTGTATAATCTCCTTGTCTTTTAACTGGTATGGAGCATCTCCCTCTTTTGGCGGTGAGTCATGGAATGGCTTGTAGTAATTTTTTTTTCTAAAATTTTAACTAATAGTCGGGCACAGAAACAAAAGCAGGAAGAGCTTTGAAAAGGAAAGCAGATTTAGGGGAAAAAAAAAAAAAAGTATAATGAAGGGACAAAAAGAAAGGAGAAGAAATGACGTACAATGAACATTACCTGAATTTCCTCCTCATTCAGAGTAGTCCATTAATGCAATTTAACATCTTTGCTCTATTCATGAGACTTAATCATCTGTCACAAAACACACACTCATTAAAGTCACTGTTAAAGTGAAACAGCTAAGCATGACATGGCTGGGAATAAGGTTTTACTGTTGCTTATCTGACAGAATAATTAAAAATAGTAATAATAATAATTCCAGACTTCTTATACAGACTCCTTAAGGCCACCACTGTGTCAATTACACCAGATACTAAAACAAACTCCCTTATATGAATGACAAGTTTGGCAAATTCGGGGCAGACAATTTTCGGCATTCCCAAATCAAAGAGCCATTTTCTGCTACAACCATTTCTGGTAGATTACTTCCTACAGATTCTTACTCTTCCTACTCTTTCTGAATTTACAAAGATAAATATTTCTGTGACATGCAACACTTATAGCTGACAGGAAATTAGTACAGCAGAGGCAGACCACTAATAATATTAGGAATTAATTACAGGAAATTCAAAAGTCTTCCACAGTTGCGACAACCAAATGATGACACCACATTTCTGTGTATTAGTTTATTTAATTCTTTATCTAAGAGCAAGTAAATTATGTTGATACAATTGGTAAACATATACATTCGCTAGAGCCTCTCACAATCCCACAGAGCTAAGAGAAACATTGAAGGATATTACAGGATTAATGCTTTCATTCTACAATATGGATATATGGCTTTCATACAAGTTTAAAAAAATGAAAAGGTAACAGACTACTAGCTTACAAAATCAATATACAAACTGAAAATAAAACGGAAATTGAACAGGGTAAAGAATGTAACCCATGAAAAGATACTATATAGCACTGGTTTAATAGATATATACAGAATTAGAAATCCATTGAAGACAATATTCAGGCTTTAATGTTATTTTGACTTCCATTTCTTCTTTTCTTTAACACCTAAACTACAAGTGTCAAGAGGATTCCTCTTTTACTTTATGTTGCTTTGTTGTCATTGTTGTTGTTTTTGTTGTCTGTTTTTGTTTTGTTTCATTTTTTACTTTTCCTCACTTTTTCTTTGCAGAGAAGAAGCCTTTTTCTGTCTGGGTTTCTACTTAACCCAATCAGTTCTTCCACTTCAACACTTTGAATAAAGCCCTTCCATGTACTTGGTGTGACAGAAAAGAATGTCACCTTTATACTATGTCTTATTGGCCATTTCATTGGTGTGTGTTTTGCATTTTCCTTCAACACAGCCATCCTTAAATTCCTTAATATCCTTAAATTGAGGAGGGAAGATAAATGGCTCTTCAGCCTATATACTACCCTTGTATTAAAATAATAACAATAATAATAACACAGGCCAAAAGCTTTTTCACTTCTTTAGCTTTAAAATACGTCAGCATGACTTGTGAGAGACCTTTTGAGCTATGGGTACCTTTTTTTTAATAGCTTTGCTTTTCCATATATGGACATATATATATATATATATGCAGTATGTATGCATGTATATTTAGAGAGCTGCTGTATCTGATTGTGACAAGCTGATGAGGCGGTTCCAAGCTCACAGCAGCAGCAGTTCTTAGCTTGCATCTGCTACAAATCCCCTCAGCAACCACAAGAGTCTCTGGACTACTCGAGGCATTTTCTTCGGGTGTAAAAACCTAGATGTGCCACATAATTATAATATGGGAAGCATAATGACTCACCCATTGAGAGAAGTTAGTGTCACGTTGCCAGGCTGATTATGATGAGGGAATTCAAACAGTGTAATTAATTAAATGAAGTTGGCTAGGATAAGACAGTCCAGAAGAGGCTATCCATTTTCCTAGCTGTATATCCCAGAATTCAAGCTGAAGCTTTTCTACAGTCTTTAACTTTGAATGACTTTCCAAAATGGGCACACTTGGAGAGCCTCTGTTTTGTGTCATCTGTAAAACCATATATTGGACCCATGATTTCAGTTTTGTTGTGTTTTTAGATAACTACTGATTTTTTAGCCAACAGGGATCTAGGAAATATAGCTGAGGTCCCATGTTTTCCTTGAAATATCTCACTTCTGCTCAGGTCAGAGTGATGGGGCCTCAAGGCAGACTGCCATTTTTGAAGAGACACAGAAGAGGAACACTAGGAGAATGATTAGCCTTTACCATTTACTTTGATTTCAAAAGCACATGAAATTTTCTGCTACTATGAACAGCACTATCTAGACCTTCTCCAAGTTCAGTCACCCATGGGGAGGAACAGGGTCTTTCCATGCCCTACTTCGCTCATACAATTCTCACTATTTTTGAAGCTCTGTGTGCCTTGTCTCTTCCCTTTAACCTGAAGGTAAAGAGAATTCAGTGGGAGAGGACGCAACATCTTGCTCTGTTTATCTGGCTAAGGGGTTCTCCTGTTTGAGGGTAGCTATTCTTTCATTACTGTCTACTCTTCCATCATATAGGACTCATTTCTTTTCTCTAGGAAGCCTCACCCAGGTTGAGCTATGACAGAGGTTTTACCAGCAAGCCACCTCTGACTGAACCCAGAGAATCAATAGCTTATTCTTACATTTCTTTGTCCATTGTTGTCTTCTGATGAACAAGTTACATTCTGTCATTTATTTTTAATGTTAGAAGGACACAATAAAAGGTACCTAATAGTAGGGGCTTGCTGAGGCTGTTTTACAAGCCAGCAAGTAGTGGAGAATATACCCTCCTAGCATGAGAAGGATCAAAAATGTATGCAGAAGTTTGGGCGGGAGGTAGATTGCCTTAGCAAAATTGATGGAAAAAACTACAAACACTATCAAAATTAGATGTGAGTAGTAAAGCAGACAACAGGTATAGTCTGTCCCCCTAGAGGAAGAACACAAAAGTTCAGAGAAGATGCTGTCTTATAGAGTTTAAAAAGATTGCATAAGACATGCCTACCCTCGTTCATATACTGTTTCTCCTTACTGTAAGAATCTGGGGGATGTGATAAAGGATATTGTGTCATATCAGAATGGTGTACCTGAACAATATTTTGCTTTAGAAATGTGGAAGGGTTACATTGCTAATGTAGTTGCTGGCCAATTTCAGCAGCATCTGAGTTCAGAAAATATATTCATAAATTAAAAAAAAAAAAAAAAAAAAAGATTCCTAGTCTGAAAGAAAGCCAGGTTGCCTCCTGGTGGACACATTCTTTTGAGGATGGAGTGGGAACTCTTCTGTATTTTCAGTAACATTCCACTATTGCCCAGTTTGCATTAAGGCACAAACCAAGCAAAGCATAAAAACAAATGTGCCACTCGGTAATCCTGCCTTCTCTACTCAAAGAAGCAAGTGAAAGAAGTTTACATAAAATGTTCCTTACCTAGTACATGTCTCTTCTTGACATGGGCCCTACATGGCCTGTTGGTATGTATTTATAATTATTACACTTTTATTTCTCCTTATTGAAGAAAAATATATCCGTTTTGAAAATTTTTCCCTTTTGAAAACTTCTATCTTTGAAAAAATTATACAGTTCAGAATGTTGTTATGGAATTAGAAGATAAGAACTGATAAGTTTGCTTTCCCTTTCTAGAACCATAATATGTACCTTATGCTATAGTCTTCCTGCACTTCATAATCTCTTAAATATGCCAGGCTAACAGGCAACGATTCTCTTTCAATATGGGCACTTCTGTCAGGCGAAATATCAAAGTGAGAAAATCCCCCAGTCCTCAAGTACTGATTTAAATCAAGATATAGACAGGTCTAATTGCTTGGAAGCATGGTTCAGTCTACTCAGAAGAAGGAAATGGAGCTAAATCCAAATCCCCCTCAATCTAATCTTGCTGGATTCCAGGATGTGGATGCAGATTCATCCTTAGATAATGTTCAGCAACTCACTACTTTCTTTTCTGAGCATTTATATCTTCTAGAAAAAGGCTGTAATTTAGGGGATTTTTATCATCTCCTCATACCATACTATAGCTGTAGCAAATGAGAATGGAAATCACTTTGTGAGTGGGACATTCCTGAAATGAGTTTCAGTCAGTTCAGCTAGTGCCTTATGGATGAGGAGGGCAGAACACGTATCTCATCCGAAGTAGCCAACCTCACAGCCCTGTCTCATAAGCTTGCCTTCCAGAGGGTGAAGGATAGAGGATTAGAAAACAAATAAGGAGAAAATTCATAATAACTCTGGTAGAAACTGAGCAAGATAGGGCTGGAAGAGGTTTTGTTCAGATATTTGCCTCTTTCTTTCTTAATAATGTCACTAGTGAAGCAATTACACCTGTTCTCCTAGGTAGCAGGTGCCTTCTTAAAGAATTGAATTGACTCGCCTCTTCTTTTGAACCTTACTTGATGTTTTACCATCAAATACTTTTATCATTGCCTTCATAGAATAAGTTCCCACAGACCATTTTCTGCTGGAAATTTTCTTCATTGTTTGTAAAGTGTGGCATATACAAATACAATTATTATTAACAATATGCCAATATAGATCCAACCATATGTGGCTGAGTAGTACAAAGAAGTGCTCTATTTCACACCCTTTGCTCACAGGACCACTGTACTTTCTGCTGGTCCTTACATGGCATTTGGTTTGCTTGTTTGTTTCTGTAAACTCTCTCCATGGAATACCTATACCACCACCACAATGGGATCTTGACTAGCCTCCTTCAAAAACTGTTAGGAATGTTCCTTTAAAAATCCAGATGAGCAGTTATTATTAAGGGCCATAAGATAACACAGGAATCAGGGGAATTTATTTTCTTTTTACTCACAGAGGTGGAAATCAGAAGTCATATCTAAAGTTTCCTAAAGGAGAGTCAAACTGTCGGTCTCAGCATCATTCCCAACTCCTGCCAACTCCCTGTGAAACATGGACTAGATCAACTGGTGTAGGACAATGGTGCAACAGTGTCTACACTCAAAGCTGAACCACTTTAAGTGAACTGAACTGATGCAGCATTTAGACAGACAAACCTTTGGTGAGTGAGAAAGCTTCTTCCTCTGTTTGCTTTCAATCAGATCTACCAATGCATTAGTTTAAATCTGAGGCACAAGCATTGGCAGATTTGATTAGACCATGAAAAAAAAAATAGCACCCAGAACCACCCAAATAAAAGCCTTTATGAATGGCAACTTGCATTTTTGGGTTTGGTCATTGCGTGTCCACAACATTTGGGACATTTTTAATTACACCACTGTCTCAGGTATGTCTAATAGTATCGTCAAAATAACAAGGACATCAACAAAGACTGCAAAACACACCCAAGGAGTCTGAGAAATACTTGTGTGACTAGTCTATCTTGAGCTATGCGCAGCCTTGGTTAGCTGGCTTCAAAAGGGTTTGGGAATGTCCAGAAGGACTTGCCTCACTGCAAGTTGAGATTGGCCATAGTCCTCATGTTAAAAAAAAAAAAAAAAGTCAAAAGTCAAGCTCTGCTTTTTTTTATTTTTTGCTTAGAAAAGGGAAGTGAGAAGTTAGTCTGGAAAATGACTCTGCATTTCTACAAGCTAATTCTGAAAGAGCAGAGTGATTTACCCAGATGAATAGATGAATGCACCATGATGCAGCTTCACTGAAGTCAGCGGGTATCTGCAGGAATACAAGGGAGACTACAGGAGATTTCCTGTTGACCAGCAGGCAGGGCTGGAGTCTACATAAATGATGAAGCTTACTTCTTAGAGTTGAAATTTAAGATTTATAATTTAAAAGCAAAGATTTAAAAAAGAATTTGGGCACTGAAATCCTATATATTTCCTCTAAAATATCTGGTCTGAAGGTTGTTTGGTTTGTAAGACAACCCTTTACCTGGGGATATACAACCCTTTGCCAGATATTTTTTCGACTTTGTCATTTCTGTCAGGACTCATTGTCATTTGAGATAGGTAAAAATCAAACTGAAAAACAGCAGGTTGTAAGTTTTCTTTTTTTTCTTTTCCCTGCCAAGTTTTCTTTAAAAAAAAATAATAAATAAATAAAGTACAGAACTATTTTTATTATGGCTGAGATTTCCCAAGGTCTTTTTGCTTATATAAAAATGGAAGAAAGCAAAAGGTACTATGTTGACATATTCCTTCTGTTTTACTAGTAGAGAAATAAAAATTAATTTCATTCCTATTGGTTTCAAGTCTCACAAATTGTCCCTTTTTTGGTAAAAAATATAATCCATCTCAGTTTTCAAACTGAGTTTTTAAAGTTTCTGTCACTTTCCAGCAGACATACTTTCTATTTTTCAACCAACTATAGCTAAAATCAACAGGAAGATTCCTATGAATGCAAAAGGGAGCAGGGTCAGGCAGAATCACAACAATTTCAACTAGATTTCTGTGAAAAAGATATTCTCCTCTCTCACAAAATAAACAAACAAAAGAAATCATTTTTCTGCTTTTGCAGGTAAAACAGTGGATATTACCATCCACCAGTGTTGATACGGTGTTTTTAAAAAAAAAAAAAAAAAAAAGTATTTTGCAATTTGAAAAATCGCTGCTACAAAATTCAGGACTCTGTTATATCCAACCACTAAAAGATTTTAGATTTTTTTACTGTCATCAACCAAAATAAGGCCAAGGATAGAGGAGTGTTACTAGTTTTAACACAGAGATGGTGACAGTTTGGAAGGAGCATCACCACATGTAGAAGAAAAATCTTTGCCTGCAAGTACTCAACAAAATGCCCCTAACATTTCCCCAAATGAATAACTTCACACAGCTATCCAGAAATAACAAGAATTAAGAAACAAAATCTGTTTTTCTTTCAGACACATGGTCCCAATCTTAAATAAAACTGCATCCAGACGAACTCCTATGTCCACACAGGGCACCACTGGCTTCAGCAGGGTTTTACACAGGTTCAGGTTCTGCTTGCATGGAGTAATTACAAGACTGAGACTTGAGAAAAAAAAAATGTTTTAAAAAACCTCTACATTGTTCTATATATAATAGACAATTTTCTAAATGAGTTTGGAGTCCTTTATTACAGGCCTCTAAAAATTGTTGTTAGGGTTATACATTAAAAATACTAAAGTAATAAAAAAAAATGATTTTTTTTTTCTGTTTGCTCATTTTCTTCTATTGTACCATTAAGCTATAAATAATTTTAGAATAAAATGCCTAGTTATAAATGAAACCGTTAACTGAACGTGTTTGCTGATGTCCCTTTCTCACATTGCTCAAGTTGGCTCCATTAATCCAGCATCTTCTCTTGTTTCTTGCCTTCCTTTTTCTTCTTCTTTGATTCTGTAAAGATAACAATAACCACAAAAAAATATCAACAACCAATACCCCTGAAATTACCGCTTACTTTCTCTATGCACATAAGAACTAATTTTGTTTCCTTATTCTTCATAGGGGAAGGGGAAACTGAAGGAAAAAGAAAAATAAAAGGAACGATCAGGGACCTAGAGATGGAAAGGGGGTGCACGTCCAGTTCAGATCCCTTCCTATCTGAGCAGCTGACCCTGTTTGGCATGCAAAGCATTGTCTCAGGAACTTGCTTCAAAAATAAGAAAACAGCAGGCAGCTCCTGGAGAAACCGGGTCATGGCTCAGCGGAGAGCTGGAAGAAAGCTTTGCACACACTACCCACACACATTCCCCTCCCTTACTTCCTTTCTGTTTCATTGTTTGTCTTTGGCTTTCCCTGAAAATGAGAGCACTCCAGATCATGGTGAGAAAGCTCACTTGTTTCTTCAGCTTCTCCATTGCCAACAGTTCCCTTTTTGTCTGGGACAAACACCTACATACACTCGAGAGGCAGCTGAGGTTTGGCCTGGAGTCATTCAAGCACGGTCTGTCCATCCAGTTATTACTGATAGGATAGGGATGAGAAGAGGGAGAATGTGTTGCTCTGACTAATTTGGGGTCAGTAAGGGAACAATGTGAAGCTACAAGTGAAAGCATATGTATTATACCACTGTCTGCAGTAAATTCCCCCATGGTGTCAGGTAGCGTGTGTTCTATGGGTAGAGGAAACTGACAGAGGGGCCTAAAAACTAAATACGGAATTAAGGGGATGAGATATTCTTATCACATATAACCTTGTAATGGGGGAAATAACTCTCACTGGGAGCACGAACAAATCCTCACAGATACCACTGTGAAATACAGCAAAAAAGTTACTGAAAAGAGACAGAAACAGGTTTTGTGAAGTATCTTGCCTGGAAATAAAACAGTAAGCAGTAGACTCATGTTTGCCTTAACCTAGATTTCACTGATATGCACTTCCCTCCTTTGAATACTGCCTCTATTTCTTCCTTGTCAGAAAGTACAAAAAAAATAAATAAATAAATAAATAAATCTCTGGATCTCAAGTTAAACAATGAATATCACAGAGAATGTAAAAGATGAGCACTTGGGCCTTAAGGTGGTCTTTTTCTTCAAAAATATTATTTTTTCTTTGGCCAGTTCAGGTAATATAGTTAAAAAACCATCACCTATGGCAAAACCAGCTTACTTGGATTAAAGCCAGGGGAGCTTTGTTGACATCCTTCAGCTATGCATAGGGCCACAGTACCTTCAGGAGAAAGTAGACTTAGGACCTCTGATTTCTTTGACTGTTGCTTTTCCTATCCATTAATTTTTCAAAGCAACATTTTTTCTTCAGCTTTTTCAACAAGACAAGAATTCTGAATAATCTTTTCATCGATGTGAAATAAAATACTGGTTTCATTTTTCTAGCCACATAATCAGTTCTAAAGTCTCATTCCCTTAAAAACTTTTTTTTTAAAAAAAAAAAAAACATTGAAAGAGGTAATGATTTAAAACAATAAGCAATTGTTTTCAGTTTGAAAATGTGAAAACTTTTTTTTTTTTTAATTACTACTATTTTTCCTCTGTCTTTTTATATGTGTCAGTGTGTGTGTATGTGTATGCCTGTGGCCTAGAGAAATTCACAGTATCTGGAACTATTTTCCAAACTGTCATTCCAAAATGTCATTTTTCATTAAGTTAATATAGAATTTGCTTTCAGCTAAAGATTCCCCCCCACACACTATTTCTCTGTCTTCTCTCTTATCCTCTTTTACTCATGTCTTTCTCTTCCTCTCATTTTCCCACTGTATCACTGACCCTCCTGAACTCTGTATTTATTGGTCTCTCTCCCTTTCTTGACTCAGAAATAGCAAGATTTTATCAATCAAACCAGCAATGGAATTTTCTGGTCTGTAATTTGTAATATCTATTCAATCTTACCACAAACAAAAATTCACTCTGCAGACTTCAACTATATTTACTAAAAGCAAAGCAGACATGTAACTGTGGGCTGACCACTCTACTGAAGAGTATGTGCAGTTCGTGTTTGGGGTGAAGTCACTTATTATCAGGAGAAGTTTTTATTCAGGAGTCATTGTGTGGCCACATCAGATCCCCATCATCAAAAACTATCTGCCTTGCACTTGGCTTGAGTTACCAGACAACCTACTATTTATTCATTTGCACTTGAGCCCCTTGTGTATGTATTTGCCTCTATTAGCCTCTCAGTAAAAGGGAAAAAGCTAAATCCTCCCCATTGGCCACCTTGTGATAACCTGCATGTCATCCAAACCTCCAAACCTGTCTACCTACACAGACAAGGGATTCTGCTTCATGCCTCAGGAGAACAAAAGGCTCCTGCCAGGGATTTAATTCCTCTCACACCACCAGAGCTTAATCTTTTGGATGGGTATGATGTATTGATTAAAAGCACATTTACTCCATGAAACCACATGCACCCTCAGAGCTGTGGCAAATATATATATATGTATATACACACAAATTGTTGAGCTTTTATATATATATATTTTATATATATAATATATAAATATATTTATATATTATATGTATTTATATATAAATATATTTTTATATATATGTCTATTATATATATACTTATATATATATATAAGCTCAACAATATATATATATGTATATACATACAAACTTTTGAACTTTTATATATATATACGTATACAAACTTTTGAGCTTTTATATATATATATACATATATTAGCTGAAAAGTTTCCCAGTCTCTTTAGGCTCTTTTAAAAACCCTACCCCAGACACCAACACCCAGGTACTAACCCATGAAAATGTTGCTGGTCATACTGTCTTGCACAAGTCTGTTCACAGGGACCCTTCACCCATTTTTACTGAAGTCAGGCTACAGACTATGGTATGTAGAAGTAGACTTTTGCTTTAAGATGTACTTTATTCATGTTTTCTCACTACTTAGACCTACACTATGCATGTGTGTCATTCAGGCTTTCATTGCTGTTCACCCCAGACTACTATCTCAACTTTTATCACATCCTATCAAGTCAGCTCACACAGCCACACTGGGATCCACATCATCCTACTCACTCAGTCTGACAATGTTTCTCTTTCCAAGGTAGCCAGCCTTGACTGAAAGGGTCCTGACACCCTCCTCAAAAGCCCTGACCAATTCAGAGTACAGCGCCAGTTACCTGAAAACTCAGCAGCCCCATAACCCTACCAGTTAAGTGAAAGGAAGATCGCAGAGATACACCACCACCAATAATCCCATTGAGGTTTCTACTCCATATGTGAAGATTACCTGCATTAAATCCACCTTAGCACAGATTGGATGTAAGTCTTTCAGCTCAGCCATTTCCTCTTAATATGAACCCAGCCTGCCATCAGAGTCTGCAGTAACCCATGAATCTGTGCACTGGAAATAGCTTTTATGACGGGGAACCCTCTGTGCTGCTTTCCACATCTCACTGGCACAGCAAAGCAGCTTGATCACGCTGACGCTCAGTTTCAAGGCAGAAGGAAGCAACATGGTGAGTGGCAGCTACCTTGAGCAGAATGCTGCCATGAGCAAGCACCCTGCAGCAACAGCAGCCTCCTGCACCTCACCTAGCTGATTAATGCAATGCTTGCAAAGACAGAGCTGTGCATCAGCTGTGTGTTGGCTACCGGGAATGTATTTGCCCAGACAGGTACTACCAAGAATATCTAGAGTCACCATGGTGAGATGATCCAAATAGATAAAATCCAGAACATGCAAAATTTTAAATCCGAAATCTCATCTGAATTCTCATTGCACTAGCTGCTTTAAAACTAGGTGGCTTCATATTTTCAATACTGAGTCAGACATTGCTGGGAGGTATATACACAGTGGAGTTAAGGACCCAGAAAGGAGGGAACAAGGCAGAAAGCAGGATCGCTTCCCTACCTGCTCAGCAGGACTAGGTGCCTAACTGTTACAGATTTATCCTGGACGCCACATCTGGTTCACAGGCCACAAACTGGAACATCTTGATATAAAACCTTATCAAAGGTGAGTGAATAACTTTGATATTTACACTCAAATCCATTAAAGGCCTTATCAAAGCTAGTTATCCCATGGACACTGATACCAGGGTCAGCACTGAGCTGCGAGTGGGTGTTTTCTCTCCCTGTCTCTCAACACGAGGTAACTAGGCTGTGCAGTAGAGAGAAAGGGCATGGGTAGCTCTTTGCCTACTCCTCTGAGCGCACCAGGCATTAGTGCTCCAGGCAAACTGTCCTTCCACCTCAGCACACAGCCACATTGAGGAAAGCAGCAGCAGGAGTTGGATATGTCTTCTCCACTCTCCACCAAGCTTGTTTCACATCAAGGAAATACTTAGCTTTACCATCCCTGTACATCCTTGCAGCAAAACAAAAGATGAGGAGAGCGAGCTATGAATGGTCCAGAATATTAATGAGGATGGCAAAACAGTCCTCAGTTTTTGTGCCTGTTTTACAGTATATGCTTTCTGCTGTCCCTCCCCCTTCCCTCTTAGCCCGCAGTGTGAGAGCTCTTGCACAGCAGGAAGCCAGAATCCTGGATCAGGGCACATGCAAAGAGCTAACTCAGAACACCTTGCCGATCCTGCAGAGAGCAGCAAGCAGCATCCAAGCAGTGCACAGACATCTTGCTCCCCGCCCCCGGAGCCCAGAGCACTTCCAGTGAGATAAAAACACCCATGTGGCGTTGTACAAATAGCCCTGCGAGAGCAAACTGTGTTGATGTACACACACTTGATTTTCTAATCATTCAACAACCTGAATAACCCTATGAATAACCTAAGAACTATTCACAGGATTAAAAACTGCACAGTTGTGGATTAGCACTGGGCACACTTCTGTCTGCTTATACTGTCTACCAATAACAAAAATCCAGTGAATTTAAGTTGAGGACCCTACCAAGTAAATAAATTAATTTAATATGCCCAGCTTTTCATATGCAATTTATAATGGCAGCAGTTCTCCTTA